AAGGATTTGATAGTATTGTATACTAAGGACCATGATAAAACCTATTATTATATATAGCTTTATCATTTCTAGGAACATTTTCTGCCTTTCAAAAATGTGAGACAAACAAAATTAAGATTCCAGTAATAAAAATAATGGCATTTAAAAAATGTTTTTATAAAGTAGATATTGTATACAGTGCCTCGATATTTTGATATTTGCTTATCTATGTGCAACGTACCCAGTAGGTTCGCTGATGCTTCTTGGACCTGGCTGCTGGCTAATGTTCCTTCTTCACTCAGCAGGCTGTTTCTCAGCAAAAGGAATTCTTTCTTGCCATTGAGTCTGCAACATACATGACACTGTGGTTTGGTCACCAAACGCTGGAGATGCCTCCTAGTTTTTCTAGCCAGCTGTCTTTTTTTTATGACAGAAGATCTACCTTCTGATATCAGAGCCCCAGACAGATCGGGGGCAGTTAATTTTATTTCCTTAGCTCAGATTATAAACTAGCAGAGTGGTACCATCCCAAGGATGGAAACACACGTTCTGTAGAAAAGGCGATGGCTAAAGCTCTGCTGATGGGCCTTTTGCGACAGCCACACTACTCCTGACCCGCTTTCTTAAGATGCCCTCCTTCTTTGGTCAAAGAATTAAACATAATTATTTTTAAGTGTATCATTATAGTTTTTTGTTGTGTTAGAAAGAACTTACGGAAGTGATCATTATATGTGACATCGCCCTGTTATTTTGAATATGTTAGAATGTTTAGAACAAAGTCAAGACAAAATTTTGTAATATTATATGAAATGTCTGTTTATTTTTCATGTCTGCATAGAAGGTCTTCCTACTGAAGAAATAAAAAATGTTCTGGAGAAGGTTTTAGCAGAATGGAAGAATGTATCTCAGCGTTTGGAAGATCTGGCAAGAAAGATTCAGCTGCAGGAAGATATAAACGCTTATTTTAAGCAGCTTGAAGAGCTTGAAAAGGTCATAAAGACAAAGGAGGAGTGGATGAAACGCACTCCCTTTTCTGAATCTCCCCAGCAGTCCTTGACAAATTTGAAGGATTCCTGTCAGGTAAAGAGCCAACCATCTGGAAGGTGAAAGAATTCTATCCCAGTCCTGTATTTAAGGAGGGTGCTTCTCGTATCAATGAACTTTAAGTTAATTCTGCTTTGATTATCTCTCTGTGAGGATGTTCTTCTTCAGTGAGTTATGTGACCATATTTCTCTTCCGTAGCGGGAATTGACAAATCTCCTTGGCCTCAACCCCAAAATTGAAATGGCGCGCGAGAGCTGCTTGGCTCTGAAGTCTCGGCCTTCTGCCCCGGATTTTGTCCAGCAAGGCTTTGATAGATTTCTGGGCCGTTACCAAGCTGTACAACGGGCTTTAGAGGATCGTCAGCAACAGCTAGAGAATGGTAAACCCATTCCTTTGGTTTTCTTATTCAATGACTTTAATATCTCCTCTCTCAGTTTGCCTTAATTTAACAATTAGTCCTAACATGCAGACCTTTAGAATATGGATTTTTTTGCGCTAGCCTCACTCTGTTTTTCTCTGTGCCTGCCTTAAAGTATACCATATCAAGACTTTTCCCTGGATTCACACTTGTTTGTAACAGCTTTCACATGCTCTAGAATTGTGTGAATAGGATATAATGACTTTTAATCAGTTTTTTTTTTTTTTTTAAGAGAAATAGGTGCTGCTGTTTTTTAGTTTGGTTAAGGTTGAGAAAGTCACTTAATATATTATTTGTAGTAGGACTAAAAAGAATGTTCGCTTACTTCTGTTTTCTCAAAAATGGTTAAAGTTTTAGCCATACCATCATGTCTCTTAAAAGAAATCATGTTCCTGTTTCAGAATCTGAAAAATTTTAGAGTTCTTGGTTTCAGAATGTACTTGTTTTTGAGAAGTTAACTGTTAGAGATTTTGAAAGCTTGACCCTCATATTACATATTTTTCTCCCTAGCTGCTGTTTAGGTTGGGAATTGTGTTGTATTGTGTATTGCTATGGGTTGCACATGCTAAAAAGCTCTACATGTAACCATACCCTTACTTCAGCAATTGTAGATTGTATAATGGCTTGAAGAATCTGTTATGTGTGTATGTTAGGCAAATGTGCCATGTTGCCTTTCTTCCGGAAAGGTGTTTGGACACCATGTCTTTGTTTATTGAATCCAGTTAACCTAGAATGTGAAATAAATCTTTGAGAATACCTCTTTCTCAGTTTCCTGGTACAAACTATGCTTTCATTTTTGACAGTGCTCAGTAGGCAGTTTAACTTTTGCTGCTAGTTGATGTCACCTCTTTGTGCTTCAAATGAACTCACTTCCTTTCCACACAAGTGTTACTTGTAAGTTATTTTTATGTTAGTGACTGATGTAGACACCGTTCCAGCTGGCTTTTGCAGTCATTATTTCCCAGAGTACCTGTGGCGGCCTGGTTGCAGCATTTCTGTATAACGTCCACTACGCTGTAGATGGGTTTGTCTACACGCTTGAGTTTACAGGAAGACTGCTTGAGAGGATCTTTGCTTTCTTTTATTCTTTGTGTAGCTAATGGGGAAGAGGAGATTATATGGGACAAAAGGGACATTGTTGTTCCATATTCAGAAGAGAGACATTTCATCATGATGAAATGAAGAAAAATGATAGTGGGTTAGTCAATATTTCAAAAGTCAACATCCGCAGGAATGAAATCACTGTCTGACTCTTAGAAATGCCAATGGAATGATCTATTATATTAACTAACAGAGACTCTTTTTAATTTTAATCATGGGGTCTCACATATTATGTATTGGAATTCACTTATTATATATAGAAGATGAATGGTATATATGATAATATTAGGCTCCTAACATTATTTTCTCAAAATAAATATTTTTTAAAAAAGCAGAACTGAAGAGCCAACCTGGACATGAATATTTGGAAACATTGAAAACACTGAAAGATATGTTAAGTGATTCAGAAAGTAAGGCCCAGACATCTCTGAATGTCCTTAATGATCTTACCAAGGTAGAGAAGGCCCTGCAAGAAAAAAAGGTAAGATATATTAATATATGTTAAAACTCTAGAATTTATAATATCTCATATTACATATTTTGGAGTGTTTTACTAGAGTTTTAAAAAAATTGGTCATTTTGGTCAAAGCTGGTCCAAAAATATCTTATCATTTGAAGGTTAGTACTGTAATGTAGGATCTCAGATAAAAGAAAAGATAGTCATTAAATATTTTTAATAGAAGAAAAGCATATGTTCTCCTATTGTAATTAGCTTAAGATTCTCAACCTGTTCATAATCTGCTAAAATACCTTTAATAAAATGAGGACTATCAGTTGAATTGATTTATGGTTTTTTCTGTGTTGAATAAAAATGCTTCCCTGATCATTGAGTTGAGTAGATCAGGTTCTGCACTATTTTATTAGATAAAAAAGACCAGCCATTGGGCACTGCACACTCTGCCCACACTGGATGTGTTGTTCCAGTGGTTTTTGGTGTTGCGAATACATTATGTTGCCCACACACAACAACTCATAAAGGAAAAGCTTTAGCTTTTTTGATTATGCCTATGTTTTTCATGAGCTTATATGTGACATCGCCCTGTTATTTTGAATATGTTAGAATGTTTAGAACAAAGTCAAGACAAAATTTTGTAATATTATACGAAATGTCTGTTTA